GAGCCTAATGCTGACGTGGAGATTGTGTTTAGGAATAAAGCACAGAGACGCCGATTTAATGTCCTGGCTCAGAGGGAAATGACACACTAATTTACCCCGATGATCTGACTTTAACTACCCTAGGACTTAGGGATATTTTTATGTATTTGCTCAACCAAATAAGCTAGATTAACTTTAGCGTGAGAAGGAGATTTACCCCTTACAGCATGCTTACCCTTGAATTCATGAGTTCCCTCTATTATGATCAAAACTGATGTTTAGGATTTGGCCGAGGTTTAGCTACTTTCAGACTTTTCGAAACCAAATACCGCTTCACTCATCACGAGATGGCTGATCTATTAGGATTTCCAAATGGACCTGATGCCCACACCTTGACACCTGATGATGCCTTCACTGAACTCGACCTTAACTATTTATGGGGAACCATATCCGGTGACTATCACCCTGAACCTCATACCATGTTCTTAGAGAGTATCCACAACCCAACCATAAGGTATTTCCATAAGAGTTTGACCCACACTTTATTTTGTAAAGATGAGAATGTCACTTCTGCTTCGAAGGATGAGTTATTTATCTTATATTTTGCTTCTCAGGGAAGGCCTATGAATGCCTCCACCTTTATGCTAGCGAACTTGGGCCGTGTTGCACATGAGACCTATGGTAATATTATTGTAGGAGTATTAGTAACCATGATTGCTGATGCCATTGGGTTAAGATACCAACTTAGTCGTATTCGTGTCTTCAGAGGTATCCGACCCATGCATATGCATTCATGTTTTAACCGTGGCATTATAGCCAATTATGACCGACCGAGTTTGATTTTCTGGTCGATAATGAGGTGATCCATAATTTACCTTACCTAACCATGAGAAAACCAATGTCCACAACAGGGATAACTGGCTATATGACTTAGGGGAACAAAGTGAGTCACCTACCCCACCATATAGCCCTCAACCTTACGAAGTTCGGGATACCATTCCCCCTGATGCCATTTCTCATGTAGATTATGCTGCTGCAATTGGTGCTTTGCAGTCTAAAGTGGAATCTCTTAGGAATGATATCACTTCTATCCGAGGATATCTCATTGGTTTCATGGATGTCTTCAATTAGAAGTTCAATCATTTATTTCAGCAAGTCCACTCATTTAGGTGCCAATTTGGTTGATATTGTAGTCTTGTATCGATTGTGTTCCGTTATGTTTTTATGTTTTGGATTGTTTTAGTTATTATTGTATTTCTCTTTCATTGTTGTTCTTAATTTACTGTATCATCGATTTATTAGCGAAGACATGTTGTTTTTGTTATTAATTAATGTGATTCCCCTTTATGTTGTTTATTCATGTTCCTAGTATTCTATACTTTTTATGTTTATGCATCTTTTAATCTCAAAGTTTAAGTTTTGCACATTTAGCTCTTTAAAATATTCTTGTTCAATAAAATGAAAATGAAAAAAAATCATGTTCTGAACCTTAAAAATGAAATTTGCGCATTCTAGATAAATGGCGTTCACCATTGCTAGATGGCGTCCGCCATCAGTTCGTATTTTCAAAATTGCAACGTTTAAACACATGGCGTTCGCCATGTGCTTAGTGGTGTTCGCCATGGAAACGGAAAAAGCAGACTTTCTGCACGTTTTCTGTTGCCATTTCTGCGCGGTTTCCAAACATGATCTTTTCAAATTCTCAATCTTCTTAATAACCACCCATAATAACTCCCATTAATCTTTATCCTAACCCCCAAACATTCATATCCATTTTCTTTCTCTATAAATACCACTAATACTCATTCTAACTTCATCATCACCACCACTCTTAAACTCCTCTCTTACTCACTGGTTTAATCTTCCAAAACTTCTCATCATCCAATTTACAAAATGTCTCCTAGAGTCTCTCAAGAAATGAATTACATGGGAATCGAGTTCGCGGAAGGAATCGTTGGTCAACGTCAATGAACCGTCTTCCACAAGCTTTGTAAGAGACCTGTTGTTTCAACGAGGTGTCATGATAACGACACTATTCGCAACCTAGGTCTGTATGACAACATCAACTGGATGATGACAAATCTTGGTATGTCACACTTTTTCTCTGTTCCTAGCCCCACGTATATTAGATTAACATATGAATTTTTAAGTTCCTTTCAATATTTTCATGATCCATCCTGCACTTCTAACACTGTCAATTTTAGAATGTTCATTAGGGACTATACACTGACACAATAGAGGATAGACAAAATCTTTCAATTTCCAAGCGACGAGGATTATTCTTTCCAAACACCACTAGAAAGTGAATGGGAAGCCAGTGCTTTAGGCTTTTGGCACTAGATTATTGGTAAGACCTCTACCTCTTGGGAAGGTCTAAAAGCCACTGCAATCCATAACCCCGCCATTAGATACCTTCATCGCATTTTAGCAAACACTATTTTTAGCATGGAGAACACAGGGAATGTAAATTCCAAGGACCTATTTTTCATCCACTATGCATTGCCCTAGACTAAGGTTAACCATACCCCTTTCCTATTATCTCATTTTGCATATGCCGCCAGTAGGTTCGGTGGTCATATCTGTGTCGGAGGAGTGATTACCTCGATAGCCTTTGCTTTGGGTTTGTATGCTGAATTGGCGACACTTGAGCAGTTAGCTATTCCTTTTGCTGACTTAAAGTATTGCTGCAACATGTGCCTCATTAAGAATCTGCCGAGTGGAAAATATAGGTTGATGATTAGTAACAGAGAGGTGAGGAGCATTGATTTACCTTGTGCGACACACATTAACATGCACATTAGCACTAACTGGTTGTTTGACATTGAGGCCACCCATCTCGAGGACGAGGCAGTTAACCTAGGCTATGTTGACCTCATGGGCCATGCTCCACAAACTGGCACTCGTGCCAACGCTGCTAATATCCCAGGGCCTAGTACCTGTGCACGCACTGCACCCACGTTTTTTTATCAGCTTTCAGGTACATATCAGTTTTCTGGAGCACTTTAGATGACATTTTTTCGATTGAATCAAACCCTTTCAAGGATTGTTCGATTGAATCTCTCAGCTAAGCCATTTAGTTGAGGAGTACTTGCTACAGTCTTATGCCTTGCAATCCCAGACTCAACACAGTAACTGTCGAACGCTTCGTTGCAGAACTCAAGGCCATTGTCAGTTCTCAATCTCTTAATCTTTCTGCCAGTTTGAGTTTTGACCAGAACCTTCCAACTTTTGAAATTCTCAAAAGTTTCATCCTTCGTCTTCTAGATGAATACTCATAGCTTTCTAGAATAGTCATCAACGATGGATAGAAAATACCTTACACCTGAGTGTGAAGGATTCCTTGTAGGCCTCCAAAGATCAGTATGAATGTAATCCATGGATCCGTGTGTTCTTTGCTTGCCTTTGTTAAACTTCTCCCTACAGGATTTACCAAATACACAAGATTCACAAAACTCTAACTTTTCGACTTTGTCACCTCCTAGCAGGTTCTGCTTCCCTAATTCAACCAGACCTCTTTCACTGACATGGCCCAATCTCATGTGCCATAATTCTATCTTCGACACAGGTTTCGTGGATGCAACAAATCTTGCAAAATTGCAGTTATTGGAGCTGTGAGATTTAAGCTCCATGATGAGTCAATAAAGTTATTGACTGAAGTTAGGTATGTACTTGACTTGAAGAGAAACTTAATTTCTCTTGGTGAATTCGACAGAAAGGGATACGTTTTTTAAGGAGAGAAAAGTATCCTAAGAGTCATGAAGGGGTCGAAGGAAATCTTGAGAGGCGTGAAGAAACAAGGCTTGTATACCCTTATGGGTGAAACTTGAAAGTTTGTACATGACCAAATCTCTAGTGAATCGATTCTACCTGAAGCAAGTTTTATATTCATTCAAGATGAGTGAAGACAAAGTGTTGGCTGAGCAGTTGGATATGTTCAACAAGCTGATTCTTGATCTTGAAAATATTGATGTGAAGATCGATGATGAAGATCAAGCACTGTTGTTGTTGTGTGCTTTACCCATAACACATGCTCACTTCAAAGAAACTCTCTTGTATGGAAGGGAGTCTTTGAGCTTTGAAGAAGTTCAATCAGCCTTGTATTCTAAGAACTTGAACGAACGAAAGGAGCATAAACCTTCGACGGTGAGCGAGGGTTTGGCTGTTAAGGGAAAATTCTTGCGAAAGGATGGTAGGTTCGACAAAAAGAAAGGTAAAAGTCAACAGAAGTCTTATAGTGGCGAAACATCTGGTATTCGATGTTATCACTGTAAGAAGGAGGGTCACACAAGAAAGGTGTGTCCTGAACGCCTGAAAGATCATGGAGGTAAGGATAATTGCAACGCAACCATTGTTCAAGATGACTTCGACTCATCTGATGCTCTTGTGGTTTCAAGTGGCAACTCAAAAAAGAGTAGATTATAGATTCAGGTTGCACTTGACACATGACTCCAAACAGAAAATTGTTCGAAGAGCTATGTGATCAAGATGGTAAGTCGGTGCTGCTGGAAAACAATAGTAATGAATCGTACAATGGTGTGACGTGGAGTCACACTTACCTAAAAGCGACAATTAAAATCGTCATTGATGAATGTGAGACACGAACTGCACAGTACAAAATGCCACTGAATGAATATCAACGATTTAGATGAAAATGATACACTACTCTAGTGCAGGACTTCACTCCGCTTGACTCAGAACAATAGGAGGGGGAAAAAAACTTAATAGAAATATCACCTCTATGAGATTATATCATACTATTTCAGACAATGAAATTTATAAATGTTATAAGTGAAAAGAATTAACAACAATTTTTTAAAACTAATCTTAGTAATTACTATAAAGCGAAACATAATGACATGAGAGATTCATACACATAATATTAATTAAACTAAAATAACTAATTTTACATTAAAAAGATAAAAATAGCTTTATGATGTGCAAATATGACATTTTATTTAAGAAGGAAAGAGTAGCTGTTGTGTGAAGATAGGAATGACGTGGTTTAACATGTGCCACGGATGTTAAGGTGAACGACGAACCGATTTGATGTAGTCTTCAAGAGCTTTGAGCTGCTCCTCAGAAGGCGGTGTTTGATTGTTCTTGATTGATCTATGCACATCATAAGTTGTTGATGCCAAGAACAATAACCTGTTAGCACAACTCAACAGAATAATTGGAATTGGAATTGTTACGATTGAACTAATGCTAGCATAAAATAAGATGAATGATGATAGAATTGATACCCAGAGGCGAAAAGTATAATTTGGCTTGGATGCACTGATTTGCCAAAGATCTTCATTGTTTCTTCTTTTTTTTTCTTCTTTTCTTCTACTTACTAACCTTATACTTCTAGCTGAAGATTTCCAGTTCTCCAACCTAACACCTAATTTAGAAAGGAAAATATCCCTTTTCATTCTTTTATTGTATATATTGATGCATTCTTTTTTACCAAAATGAAATATATTAAATTATATACTGATGCTATTAATAAATTTTAAAATTTGAAAATTATTTTAAAAATCTAGATATCTTAAATAAATTAGTATTTTTTTTTTTTTACGAAAGAGGGTCTAATGGTCCAACCAGAAGGCAAGAAAATTATCAATTAGTCAAGAAATGTGACTCTAAATCTATCATCAATTAAGGTCATAAACTCAATCGCTGGGAGGAATAGAATAATGATGAGTTCATTGTATTTAAATTAAGATTATAATTCACTATCTAATATGTACAACATATGTCTCCACGTCAAGTATGATTGAATTTGATGTGGCAATCCTTTTGAGTCATTTTTTTTATTCTGCGAACTAAGGTTGGAAAATTTTGATCATCTGAACTCTCTTGACACACAATATCTATCAAGATTTCAGAGTCACTCTCGACCACTAGATTTGTAAATTGCTCTAGTCAAGCTAACTTCATACCATGTAACATTGCCCACGTTTCAGCAATGAGAGCATCACACACATCAATTTGACAAGCATGACCCCTCGCCCAAATCCTTGAAGAATCTTTGAATAAGCCTCCGCAATCGGCCATGGGCGTTGAGGTTTTATAAGATCTGTCACAATTGAGCTTAATTCAGTTTTTGACATGATGTTGCCAACGTGCATATCTGATCTTTGTTCTCAATATCAAACTCTTCTTCTGGATTCAGTTCTCATTCTTGATCTCGCTCCATATGCATGATTGTTTCTGCCAGCTTGTCAGGGCGCTGAAACCCCTCCTAAAAAAAATCTTGTTTCTCTAATTCCATAGGTACCAGCAAGATATCACAAAGATAGACTTCCAGAGCATTTTATGAAACTCTGTAGTATCTTATTTAAGGTTGTAAAAGATCCAATCCCTACAAGAAAATAAATAAAGCTGAGTCATTTTGATAGAAGGAACAAGTTGAGTCCATACTTGTGATGCATAAGGGAAATCTCGCAGCATATAGATTAAAGTCTCTTTAGTGTTTATACATCAGTTACACTCAGCAAGTATTGTGGGGTTCCACTTGTTACGTCTGGAATTTGTTAAAAGTCTCTCATGAGCCAAATGTCAGGTGAATGTCTAGATACAATAATGATATTTCCATTTCTAAATGATATTTCATCAATACTAGTATCTCTCACAGTAAAAGAAGCATCAAGAAAATTATAAGCATTGCTAAGGGAAAATTCATTATTTCTATTGCCCCTTCCCCCCACCCCAACTTGACAGGAACATCTTTATGGATAGGTGGAGGAATGGCCATAATATGATTCACCATAATTATAGTAAGTAAATTTTGAAGCAAGTCCAAGTTCCATTTTTCCTCCTCGTTGATAACAACGTTAACCATCAAGGTAGTATCCAAAATCACATCAGAGTGGGCCAAATTAAAATAAACTAGTTATTTTAGACTCTTTTAGCATAAAAAGAGTAATTGTTGCAACTTTTTCAAAAGATCAAACATCCCACTAAGTCAAAAATGCTAGATATACAATACATGTTTTTAGTTTAAAAAAGAAATCTTTTAGGTAGTGGTCATTACATCTATGTAATGTTCACTAATCATATTGAAATCCAAATATCACATTACATACCATCTAGAGATATAAATATGGACACACCAGTTATAAATCAAATATCTTCATAAAAATACACTTTATCCAAGTAGAAGAAATGGATTTCAATCTCTGAACAACCCTTAGAACTATATTTCCTATATGTTTTGTTTGTTTGTGTTAACATATGGGTGAATCCAAATTTCATTTTTCAGACACACCCCTTTACAATATTTTACGCATTAAATGGATCTTTATTTTAGAACAATGGGGTAGATCCAAATTTCAAAATTCGGACAAACCCCTGATACGGGTTCAGAGCCCCCTTCAAACCAAAGTTCTGATATTGGGCCTAAAGAGGTTGGAGGCCCAGTGTTGAGAAATAGTCAAAGGGCTAGAAAGCAACCCAATTGGATGCAAGACTTTGCCTAAGGGAAATTTTTATTGTGCTGTCGTCACTCTCTGTTTTCCTTTTTACCTTTTCTTTTAATTATGTACTAGAAGTTTCCACTTGTATTGGTCATGTAGCAGCTGCCCTGTGATTCGGAAATCTAGGGAATTTGTTAGAATGATTTCCTTTTCCTTATAACCATCTTTTACATGAATGAAAGGTAGCCAACAATTTATCTCAATTTCACATTGGATTCTAACCTCTTTCTTCTTTTCTGGAGTTGCTCTAACTCGAATAGAGCCAATAGGTTAATACCTTATCATTTTGGTGCTTTCATTAACCATGCCTCGCGACGATCCTCTTGAAGTAACACTAGAAGATGTGTTAGCTCAGATGAAAGAAATGCAACTGGCTTTTGAACGGCAATATACAGTAATGGCAACCGAAATTGCAACTCTCTGAGAGCAAGTCGTTAACCACAAACCTTCAGGTAGTGGGTCCGCTCCTCCCACTCCTACTCCCAAAGCGGCCAAGGTACGATTGTCTCCGTTTGATGGTTCCAACCCTCTTGAGTGGATATTTCGAGCAGAACAGTATTTCGACCTCACGAACACACCAAACAGTCAAAGGCTCGCCTTGGTTCCGTTCTTCATGCAAGGCTCAGCTCTTGGGTGGTTCAAATGGCTTCACTCCACTCAACAACTCTCGACGTGGTCGGCTTTCACTCGCGCATTGGAGTTACGTTTTGGCCCTTCCTCTTATGTTAATCATCAAGCAACATTGTTTAAGCTCCGTCAAGTCGGCACAATGATGGAGTACCAACTACAATTTGAGACAATTTCCAATCGGGTGTTGGGTCTTTCAGCTGAATCTTTGCTTAATTGTTTCATTTCAGGGTTACGTGCCGACATTCAACGTGAGCTTGCAATTTTGCAACCACACTCCATTACTCAAGCAATTGGGTTGGCGAAGTTGGTTGAAGCGAAAATTCTAGATTCCAAACCTTCTTATGCAAGACCGCCACGAAGTGCAAGCTCTCCCTCGTTGCTTGGACCTGCAGGAAACCCTCTGCCGCCTTCTATACCTATTCGCCGGTTATCCCCTACTGAAATGCAAGAGCGGCGTAGCAAAGGGCTTTGTTTTAACTGCGATGATAAGTTCAGCCCTGGTCACCGTTGTCACAAAAAGCAATTCCTCCTGCTTTTGGCGGAGGAGGAGCCACCTCCAGAGCCATCAACTCTGCTGCAGTTAGACTCTGCGTTGCTCGATCAGTAGGTTGAACCTGTTGCTATACCGGTGGTGGAGGAACTGAATCAGAGTGCTGAACACTTTCAGCTTTCCCAAGCGGCACTATTAGGTCCACCTTCTCCAAAAACTCTGCGTGTGAATGGTCACATTAAGGAGTTGGGGGTTACCATTCTAATTGATTCAGGAATCTCTCAAAACATTATGCAACCCAAGATTGCTGAGTTTCTGGGCATTCCAGTTGTGGCACACACTCCCTTTTCGGTGATTATGGGCAATGGAGATTCCATTCAATGTAATGGGTGTTGTCAAGACGTGCAAGTGAGAATTGTTGAACAAGATTTCCACATCTCATTCTTTATATTGCCTATTCATGGAGCAGACCTTGTCTTAGGAGTTCAATGGTTACAAACTTTGGGTTCTTTTCTGTCTGACTATTCGATTTTGTCCATCCAATTTACCTATAACAACAAACCGATCACCCTCACCGGCTCTACTTCCATGACCCCTACTGCGGCATCTTATGCTCAGTTTTGTAGGTTTATGTTCACCCAAGCCATTGACTCTATCAATTCACTTCACCATACTTCCTTTGATAAACTTGATTCTAACACCACAACCAAAACAGAGCACCTAGTCAACAGTAACATTGACCCTGCCATTAAAGACTTACTTAACCAGTATGCCACCACCTTTGACACCCCTTAAGGCCTTCCCCCAGATAGACACCAAAACCATTATATACATCTAAACCCAAACACTCACCCTATCAATATAAAACCGTACTGTTACCCGCAATTCCAAAAAGAAATTATGATAAATATGATCCATGACATGCTCCATGAGGGAATTATTAAACCAAGTACCAGCCCCTTTTCTTCTCCGGTTTTATTAGTCAAAAAGAAAGATGGCATGTGGCGATTTTGTGTAGATTATCGTGCATTAAATGCTGTTACGGTTAAGGACCGTTTTCCTATTCCCATGGTTGATGAACTTCTTGATGAACTCCATGGCTCCTTGGTTTTTTCTAAGTTGGACTTGCGTTCGGGGTATCACCAAATACTCCTTGCACCGGAAGACACTTTTAAAACAGCTTTTCGGACCGTGGACGGACACTTCGATTCTTAGTGATGCCGTTTGGACTCACCAATGCTCCCTCAACTTTTTAGGCTACAATGAAAGAGGTGTTTCGACCATTTCTACGCAAGAGTGTGCTTGTTTTTTTTTACGACATACTGGTTTATAGCAAGGATTGGAAGTCCCATTTGCAGCATCTCCATCAGGTGTTAGAAATTTTGGTCGAACACAAACTGTTTGCTAATTCTCCAAATGTGAGTTTGGAGTTAATCAGATTGGTTATCTTGGGCATATTATTTTGGCCGATGGAGTGGCAGCTGACTCAGAGAAACTACAGGCTATATCAGCATGGCCCGTGCCTACTTCAGTTACAGCCCTTCGCGGTTTTCTTGGATTGATAGGTTATTACCGCCGTTTTCTTCAAGGTTATGCAGCCCTTACTAGTTCCTTAACAAACCTTTTGAAGTCCAAAGGTTTCATTTGGAATGAGCAAGCTTTAGAGGCATTCCAGGCACTTAAGGATGCTATGATCCAGTTGCCTACCTTGGCTTTACC